ATGAAAACGCGTAGTTATGCGTAGTTCTGTTCTCCGACCGGCGCACCAGGTCCCCCAAATTGGATCAGGGATTCTGAAACATGGCGACGTTGCAAAACACTATCACAACATATCACAGCGGTCCACACGCAAACATTGTTCGGAACGACCCCCTTGAAACTGATTTTGCTCCTGATTTGGCGTCGTTTATCGGTGGAAAAGGATAGGACATCGAGGCCCGATGAAGCCCGTATCTGTAACGGAAGACCCTTGGAGAAACTAAAAACAGCAATCAAGCGGCTCAAACGGAACAAGGGTGCAGATGAAGCTGGTTTCGTCGCCGAGTTGCTCCACAACGCTCGGGCCACCTTCCTTGTTTTCTTATTTTCCTTTGTTAGCCAATTTCAATGACGTCCTGCTTCATGGCGATCCTCCATGTTCTTGGTGCAATACTATTTCACCATAAAAAAACAAAGGAGTTGTCGGATTGCTAGTTTCAGGTTGTTTCATACATGTTTTGCTTTGATATTGGGCCACATCGAAAGTACACTGGAACTGCCTGAAGAACAACATGGCTTCGCTTCGGTTCGGCGCCTGGAGGAGCATTTCGTCACTGCAACGCAGGTTGTTGACAAGACACTGTCCACCAAGACGCCCATTTGGATTATCAGACTGGATTTGTCGAAAGCATTTGACGGTGTGGATGGGAAGGCTTTATGGCAAGAGCTTTCACATGGTATTTCTGAACATTTGGGATGGATTTTACAAACTCCATATAATTGGGTCAAAGTTTTGGGCGCATCCTCCCTGAGCGTTTTCACTTACAGGTAGCGTGCGACAAGGGTGTGTACTCAGCCCCCGATTGTTCAATGCTGTTTTGCTGGTGGGCAATGTTGGACTGGAGAAGTGAGAATGGTTTCAATTTAAACAACGGTTTTGGCACATTATTCGATTTACGGTTTGCTGATGAGGTTAGAGTGCAGAAACGGTTCTGCTGTTGGATTCACTGGTGACAGTTTTGGCCGGCGTTGGTTTGCGATTGAACCCGGGCAAAACTGTTGCTTTAACAACTGACGCCCAACCTCCCATTTGGTAACCGAACATGGTGCTCACATCAAGTTGGCGTCTCATCAATGGCTAGGGTGTGTCTTCGCGATAAAGGGGACCAAATGTTCGGGTATAGATACAGAACAACATCTTTAGAAGGTTTGCTGTCGCCCGATTTAAAAAGTTGAAAAATACAACCATCTATTTACGGTTCCTTCAGGATCTGTTTAGGGTTGGTTTAAAATTTGGTTAGTTAGTGTTGGTTTATTGTTTGTTTAAGATAACGCTGACTTAGGATCTGTAAAATTCTGTAAAGGGTTTAGGGTTTAGGTTTATTCAGCTTTGGTTTAATGAGTTTAATATCTATGTGGGTTAGTGTCAGGTTTCAAACGTGTTTCGCGCTTAAAGTGTATTGTTAATAAGTTTCTTACGGTTTGTATGTGAAAAGCATTGAAAAGCAAATAGAAGAGAGCAGGGAAGAGCAGAGAAGCAGGGAAAAAACAGAAAAAACAAATGAAGCAGGGAAGCGAGGAAAAGCGGAAAAGTAGGGACACGCAGAAAAGCAGAGAAGCAGTTGCTTTGTTTGGATGTGGATAGAAATGCCCACCTGTTGCAGAAAGTTTCGCCGGCTGAGTAAGCGAGTGAACACATTAAACACAATATTATCATTATACCTCCTCAAGCAGCACACATTGAAGAACACAAAGAAGCAAATAGAGTTCATCTTGAAGAAAACACAAATAGCATGTGTTTCTGCCTTTTTGTTGAGCCGCAGTACATGTTCCAAGCAAAACTGCAAAGCGGAAGGCTTATAGTAGCAAGACGCAGAAAAGCAGAACAAAAGGCCCTGGACACACAACGAGGGACAGGAAATTCCATATAAGGCCATGTACCAGGAATACAACATAACCATACAAGACCGGTATGCAACAAGGCAAAGCGTAAAACACCATCCTCAGCAACACATCGCTTCCAATTTTCCTCAAGCACAGACACCCTGCGCAAAAAGAACGTGTGGAAAAAAGACAGCAAAAGACAACAAAAGACAACGCAACACTGAAGGGGGGCAAAGAGCACAACAACCTCAGCGGAATTTAGCAACGAACAAGTGGCGACAACAGAAACAGAAGGCCATGCAAATCAGCAAGGTGCACGAGAACATAGCAGAAAACTATGAAAAAACATGAGCATCGTCACATTCCCGCCAGCGTGGCTTCCAAGAGTGTCTCAGTAAGGGCAGTGCCTGACCAACTCTTACAGACTCAGAGCGTTGCAAGAGAGTGTTACACCAGAGCGTCCCACAAGATCTCACGAGGGTGTCTTTCAAGACTGTCATATAAAAATGTCCCACAAGAGTGTACCACAAGACTGTACCATAAGAGTGGGTTGCAGGGGTTTTGTGCAGGAGTGTCACAAGAGAGGAGTGTCTAGCAAGAGGTCTCCCACAATTGTCACAAGAGTGCGTTCCAAGAGTGTCCCAAAAGATTCAGGAGTGTCCCACAAGACTTTGGTCCCGCATTTCCTTCTGCAATGCAGTTCGTAGCTCCCCATGGGGCGCGTTCTAATACCCAAATCACCCAGGATATTTGACGCAACCGCGCAACCCACGCCTGTTGCGTTGATACAACGGGCCTACAGCGTTACATCATCTGCTTGGTAGTTGATCCACCTCTTGTAAAGTAGTCGCCTTCCGTTAGACACGACTTGAGCACCTTGCGCTGTCCAACGGGTTCGACTGCTTTGCTGCAAAATGAGCCGGTCAAGGAGAGGTCAACCTCAAAATCCTTGTATATGTTGGGTTGTCTCCAAGCCCACTAAAAACATCTAAAATCTGTCACCACCAGGACTTCTTAAGCAAGGCACCATTTTCAACTCTCAGTAGTCAGGGGAGTATGTCGGTAAATGTTCTGTCCAGTATATCGCCAGGTATCGTTCATCGTCTGCGCGGTTTGTCTTGCATGTGACTGGTTTGTCTGTTGAGGCGTCTGACTGCAAAGCATCGAGAAGCGGCCAGTCCAATTTTATCTTGTTTGGGGCGACCTTTTGCCTTTCGCCGCGTGTCTGGTTCTTGGAGCGAGAGATCGATAGTGATCCAACATGATCCAACATGATCCAACACTGTTGAACTTTATGTGGTCCTTGTGTGCGACAGTGAGCAGCAGCAAGTGCCGAAGCGGCGTCATAGGATGTCATAGGTCTCCCGCCCCAAGGTGGGAGAGAAGGGAAGCTCAAATCGTCTGAAAACCTTTCGTGTTTCAGTTGATCTCTCTGCTCTGTCTTTTCTGATCTAGTTATCTGATCTAGTCACTAATTGCCCTGCGCAGGAATTTTAATGCGTAACTTCTACAAGTCGCGGAAGTTTCATGGGAGCGGCTGTCAACATATTCATCGTTTGGCGTCGTCACCCTTAACCTTGCGTCCTAGTGCAGCGGCTGTTGCAATCCCACATCACGTTGCGGAGCCGCGAAAGATTAGTTCCATTAGTTGTACTCAAAGCCTCATCCCCTGGTTCGAAATGAACCGTCCAAAGTCCAAGTACCCGAGAAGTCTCTTTTTCATCGCCAGCAGTAGTGGTCGTCAGACACCTGTTAACGTCTTGGCGCAACGGCCACAGCGTTTGCATCTGCCATGTTTCCATGCGCCATGTTTCCATGGTGTTGAAGGTCATGCTGGGCTCAAGATGCATCAAAAGGGTGGAAAGTCCAAGCCATGTTAAGCGTGCCGAATATCATGGTAAAATGAAAGTCAGTCCATGAAAGGAAGTGGTGCGAGAAATAAGATAAATCAGTGCATGTGTCTCGGTGGATCATTTTATTGAGTATTAAACCTGGAAGCAAAATCGATATCAGGGACCACACCTTAAACACGCTTTGCATCAACCCTCAAATATCTCAAATGAAAAGCAACGCCAGTCATAAAATGTCGCAATTAATTTTGCTTACCTTCCCTGCAACTAACAACCGTCACGAATATGACTTGGTGTTGTTAGCATGGCCAACAACATCCAACAACCAACAGATCTGAAGAACCTGCACTCAGCTGAGTCCGTTGCACCGCTTTGGGGGTGCGGCAAGGGTCGCGCAGATCTGTACATGCCCACCACGGCCCCACCGACAAAAACTGATCACTCATGATCACTCCAAAGGTGTGGAAAACATTTTGAATGCGACATGTCTGACGTGTCAGTGCTTTGTTCTCCCATATTGGTTTGATGTTTGAGCGCTGGCGTTTTCTTCTTGTATTTCTTCTGGTTTTCGCAGGCATTGGTCGTACCTTCCCCTGCCTAGCACAATCTGCAAGCTAACAGGCTGAAGCTCCATGACTTAGAATGACAGGCTGAATGTCAGAAAACAGGCGGACAAAGTGCCCCTACTTTTATATGTTGAGAAGGAAAATAGCCTTTGATTGGAGATGTAGGATGTAGACACTGGTGCACTTTAGGCTTTCAATGTCTTTCCTGGCAACTGCGGTATGCTTTTCCAAGTACCCACTACTACCAAATGGATCTGAATAGGTGGAGGGAGCCTTCCACATGGGTAAAAACATGTAAAAACTAGGCACCCCCAAGTCAGATTATATATTATATATACAAAATATATATATATATATGCAATTAAAGACTACCACATTTTTTTGAATTCTGTGTTCGCCAGGGCCTTAGATTTTGACCCACACCTGGTAACAGTTTCCAACCTCTGGAGTGTCCATGCGCACCACGAGCAACTCATCCAAGATTTCACAGCTTCGCTGGAATCCGGTCACCTTTATCAGGAGGATCATCCCTGACTTTGGAGCCACACTTTCAAAATATGCCAACATTCCAAGCAGATTCCATTCCACAACTGGCAAAAAATGCTGCTAGGCTAGGCAATATTATGTCGAGACAAAAAGAACAAGATTTTCTGAAGTCAGGTGATACGCTCACAGGTGGTTACGTCTGACAGCGATTCTTGTCATCGCCCGAAAAAGTTCCTTCAACGCTTCTGCATCAGCCGGTCGTCCTCGCTTGACAGGCGGAAGGTAAGGTAAACACAGAGGAAACTAAAGGATTTTCTTGCAACAATGAAGAAGTTTGTGGGCTGTCATGGAAATGGCCACAAGGGTGATGCTGCAATGTACTGATCAAGCAATTCAGTGCAAGTCCCTGTTTGCTGCATAGAAGGACAAGCACCAAATCTATCTTTTCTGTTGTCGTGTCAGACTTGCAAGCATGTCAAGTCTCCTGATCCCGTCTCACACAGGTTCTTGGACAAATCCACCACCACCACTACCATCACCACCACCACCACCACATCATCATCATCATCATCATCATCATCATCAATCATCATCCTCATTCTCATCATCATCATCATCATCATCATCATCATCATCATCATCATCATCATCATCATCATCATCATCGCCGTCGCCATCGCCATCGCCATCGTCGTCATCGTCATCGTCATCGTCATCATCATCATCATCATCATCATCATCATCATCCTCATCATCATCCTCATCCTCATCATCCTCATCGCCATCGCCGTCGTCATCATCATCATCATCATCATTGCCTTTTTGGTAAGGATTTGTAAGGATTGGTAAGGAATAATCACTATTGTTATTGCTACATGACTACGACTACTAACGACTACTACGACTACTACGACTAGGACTACTACTACTACTACTACCACTACCACTACCATGTTAATCATGGTTATTGTTATTGTTGTATTGTCATTGCCGACATCACCGTCATCGCCGTCATCACCATCATCACCGTCATCATCATCGTCATCATCGTCATCACATTACATCTGCACACTCCGATATCCAACTCCGATATCCACCCCAGACCCTGATGACCTCCAACTCTCTGACTGTCTTGCCCCGTTGAGCTTGATCCTCCTCCATCCGTTTCAACCTGTGACATGGCGACATTCTTGAATATATAGTAATTACAGTATATAAATTATAACTATAGTTAGCATACAATACTGGATACATAAATTGTATTAAATTGTGACAGTGATAACATTCAATGGGTCAGCTCCGCACATTTAAGACATGGCACCCTAATCAAAAAGCCCGTAGTGATTGGTTTGGTGTCATCTCAATGCGAAGGACGTCTGAATGCTTTCTCTAAGTGGATGCAACCCAGCATATGCACATTCCATAGACCAAGAGGCCATGCTTGTCGAGACTCCGCTGGCATTCCCATATTCCTGAGTGTTCAGATTTGAAATGGAAAATGAAAAGTTTCCCATAGTTTTCCAAGCACCATTTGCAAGGCAGTGATTCAAGTCCCAAACAGTTGCAATTGGATACGATTGAGACAAGATTTCTCAGACGAGAGTCTGGTACGGAGTTGACGATGGCGGTGCCTATGATCACTCGAAAGGAGGCAGCACATGGTTCCACTCAGAACTTGTCGATTAGACAACATTGGTCAAACATCAGCTTCGACAGAACTTTGGATTTCAATGGATTGCTGCCCGTTGCTGTCCAATATATTCCAATATGAGATCTTTAAACAGATTTATAAAGCTACCGCAGTGTGCGAGCCTTGGACCCAAATTCATCCCGTGGGGCGCCTGGTTTAAGGACCGGCCCTGCCCAGCAAAGGCGCGAATCTCGGAGAACTGAACCTGAGGGTTGGCCGCTTCGGGATCGTCGCGCTCGGAGGTGTTCAACCTGTCGCGCAGGTTAAAAAAATGAGGAAAGATGTGGACAAAAACTAAAACATATGATATATCATGAGATATTGTGAGATATTATGAGATATTATGGGATATTATGATATATTATGAGATATTATGAGATAAACTTCTGTGAATCTGTCCCGGGCAAATTTGAATGTTGAATAATGTTGATAGCTTCTAGACTTGTAGATGATCATCTGGTAGCTGGTGCAATCTACAGATTTTGTCAAGTTTCCACAGGATTTTTGCAAACGGCTCCCACCTGGTACTGGCACCATTGCGATCCACCACCCGGCTGGTGTCTGAGCGGGCCAACTCAAACAATGGATGGGTGTACAAACGCTCCTCCACATAGAGCCTGGGCGGAAGTAAAAATCATTCAAAATGGCCATCGCCATCCATGGCTATCCATGGCTATCCATGGCTATCTATGGCTCTGGAAAAAACATGGGCTACAGAGTACAGTAATTCAGTAACCTTTTCTTGGACCTGCAGGGCCATCCGCAAGTTTTGGAGGGCCGAAGACCAATCCAAGTCTGGGGCTGCAAATGAGGGATGTATGATATAATCTACAGTATATATATATACATATGAAATTCAAAAACCGTAGGAACCACCTATAGGCTTTGGAGCCAACCAGTCAATTTTCATCAATTTTCCAGGTATGCACTTCATGCCAGCACGAGTCGGAAAGGTCTCCTACCCTCGGATACTTGACCACCTGCCTGTAGATCTTGTAGGACTCGGCGAGACACATCAAGCCCATGTACCTCCAAGCTCAGCTAATATAGACTCTGGTTGTTTCACAGTCGTATTTTTGAAAGGAAGCCCCCGATATTTCTCAGGGTCGACAAGTTGCAACAGTATCCTCTCAATGGCAACACCGCGTGACTCCTACGGCTCAGGTTCGATGGAAGAATCTAAGAGCGTTCATAACTTGCGTAGGCGTAGGATTAGATCTCAATGATCTCAGATCTTAGGTTGAGCAGCATTTGGTAGCTGTGAACATTAGAAAGTCCCAACACAAGGGCTGCAAGGCGCACGCCATGAGGGCAGAATTGACCCCGCCCCCACCACCGCCCAGGAAGGACTTTCCGACAGCCTGAGTGGGGCCTGGGATGGCCTGACCCCCCAGGAACGGAAATCCTGCACCGTTGAACAACTTGAACAACAACTTGAGCTACATCTCAAGGTGTCCGTTGAATCTCAAAATATCTCAAAATATCTCAAGATACCTCAAGCATTCAATCGGCTCTGGGGGTCGGACGCTCAGCAAAGCATCTCCGATGAAAATGATCTGCGACCAGGCGGATTCCGCAGGATGTCCGAACAGTGGATGTCCGCCACATTTCGCCACTATTGGCAAATTTCACAACTGTAAACATCAAGTGCTGTAAACCGTAATCATTAAAATCTTCCATAGAAACGAGGAAACTCATCCATGCGGTCTGGGAAGCTCAGGCAATTTTCACCAACTTACATCATCATCATTCAAAATGCATGGTGTCACCATGAGTCACCTACTGTCCGACATGGACAGATTTGCTCAAAAATGGCGGATCCCTAACTTCCACTAAAATTGCCCGAAATTGGGAGTGAATTCCCCAATTTTTGGACCAACCCTCTTTCACACCCAACAATGTGGACCAACCCTCGCCGCGCCGACAAGGGAATGGATGTCCACAGAAGAACCTGTGGCTGGAACCAGTGGCTGGAGTAGCAATGGATGCAGAAAATTGGTGCACACAATCAATCAATATTCATGTGATTAATTATTTACCTATGCATTTTGGGTGGTATATATGATTTTGATCCAATTCCAAGTGAAAAGTGAAAACTATATCCAGATTTCTAGACAATCCGTGAAACACATGGAGAACTTAAAGACGAAGATTGAAGGGTTTACAGATTCTACCATTGGTGCCAACAGATTCACTCGATTGACTCACTGACTGGCGAGTGGATAGGTCCAAAACTATTTCATCGATACCCAATCACAATATAATCACAATGTACATGTTAGTATGTAAATGTAAATATTCATTGTATAATATATTATTATCATTATTATGATTATTCGTATTGTTATTATTATTATCATCATTATTACTAGATGTTATTATTATTAATATTGTTATTATTGTTATTGTTATTTTTATTAATATTATTATTAATAGTAAATTAATATTATTGCATACAGTATGTATTATACACAATAATATCATAATGTTCATCTCGTTGTAATCGTTGCACAAAGAATATCATACTTGATCGGGGGTACAAGTCATTCAAGTCATTGTAAAAAACTCTCCAATGATTTTTCAACTGCACTTTGGCTCAGCAATCAGACTCAGTTTCCTTCGCCGAAAAAAAAAAACATGCTTCTGACCATTTCCAACTGTCTTCAAGTGTTGCCTTCATCATACACTACATGGGACTGAACATCTCTCTAGTATTGTCAACCCTTGATCAATAAACCCTGACAATTATATTGGTGTATTAATCTCCAAAAATAGTGAGAAGTTTGCTACTAAAATTGGTCCCCCCCTGTTGATCAACTCGTGGTTGAAGCCTGGCTTCACATGAGTAGCAAATGATCTTATCTCTCCAGACTTTCCAGCCGCATCATGCCATGTGATGCCGCACCAAGTGCCCCACCTTCGCTGCACAACGCGCAGAGGCACCGCAGAACCTCAGCGGTGCACCGCTGACCGGGTTGCTCCCTGGCCGCCCCTTGTACAAGGGGCGGTCAATTGGATACCCTCTGGTAATTTAACATAACTATTGGGAATCACCATTTTTAATGGGTAAATCAACTATAAATGGCCATTTTCAATAGCTATGTTAGTTTACCAGAGGGTAAATACAAAGGTCATATCACCAATTTACACCCATCGTGGCTCCTGGAGCAACCCTGATGAAAGTTTGTCTTCTTGCACGGTAGGAGCATTCACCACATTCACTTCGATCAAACACATAGATTAAGTCTACTGAGGCAGCATGGCAGCGCTAGCCACACTTTCTTCGCGTGAAATCAGAAGTCGGTGGCGCCTACTTAAAACATCCTGAATCCTGTGAGTTCATATTTTGACCTCTGGCCCTGATACATCCGGAAGACCTCATCGACAGTTCATTGCCTGTATTCTGAAAGAGGCACCAAACACATTTAATAGGTCTAATAGGTGAAGTAGAAAAAGCTCTCGTCCTTGGCGGGTTCTTTCTGAACCTTCCGCTGCGATCTCAGTGATCTGAGCGTTTCCTTTGTCTCCAGTGGATCTCGCACGTGCAGAAAGCTGTTCAGTCCAGCTGCAAAACTCAGACTCCGATTGGAGTGATTTGCCAGGCTGTCCTCAGGGGCTAAAGGTTGAAAGATTTTCAAGGCCTGAACTGAAGCATGGGTCAACTGGTCCCTATCTTCAAGGAATCAACTCAGTCCGTGTTATCCAAAACCTTGGACAACTCCAAACTTGTTGTGCTACGCATTTGATAGACGGATAGGTCCAACGGCCAGTCACAATGGCACGAGTCCTCTATAATTCGGTCCTGGCAAAACCTGCCAGGTACTTCTTCAGTCTCCAGTGTACTTGTACTTTTTTGGGCTAAGATAGGCTGAGATTAGCAGCTCACAGCCTTTTAATGCACTAGTTACTAGTTCCATGTATTTCCCGTCCGTGACCTCTCCGTCCTCCATGGCAATGTTCCAAAACGCATAGCCTCGAGGCCGTTCAAGGATTGGTGCGGTCATGTAGGCCACTTCTGCCTCAGGATTCCCGAATTTCTTGAACGAGGGGTGACTGTTTGCAAAGGATGAAGAAGCGGCAGTATCATGACAGACTGGTTTATTCTTGGAAAAAACGTTCTGCTCTGACTGACTCTTGAAATTCTTAGAGTCCACAGGAGTGTCCCACCAGATTTCCATGGTTTGTCATCTTACATCCCGATCCAAGCTTCATCTGATGCTTTATCCAAGCTGCTGTTTCTGGCCAAAAGAAGGCTGACTTTGGAGGGCTTCCGAAACTGAATCCTCCAAGCTGGCTTTCAGTGCCGGCCGCAGGATGACGGATGATACTTAGATTGCTCCAAACAATGGCAAAATTGAGTTTTTCCATGTTTTTCCAGTGGAGGGGCAAAGGGGGCCGAAACGTGGGTTTCCAACGTTGCGCTGTGACGCTCCTGGGGGGCGGGTGGCGCTGCGACGCTGCGACGCTGCCAGGGGCCGGCGGCGCTGTGACGCTGCGACGCTGCGACTCTGCGACGCTGCGATGCTGCCGTTGGGCCAGTGTGACGCTGCGGCGCTGTTGACGCTGCGACGCTGCCGAGCCGGAGCGACGCTGCGACGCGGGAGCGATGCTGCGACGCTGCTGGCGCTGCGACGCTGGATCGACGCTGCGACGCTGTTGGCGCTGCGACGCTGCGACGCTGCGACGCGGGATCGGCGCTGCGACGTTGTTGGCGCTGCGACGCTGCGACGCTGCGACGCGGGGGGCGACGCTGCGACGCTGTTGGCGCTGCGACGCTGCGACGCTGCGACGCCGCGACGCGGGATCCACGCTGCGACGCTGTTGGCGCTGCGACGCTGCGACACAGGGGGTGGCGGGGTTGCTCTCTTGCGATGCTGAAGATGCAACATAATGTTGAGAAAGGGTAACGGGGCTGATGTCTTGTAATGCTGAAGATGCAATGCATTGTTCAGAGGGCGTGGCGGAGCTGATGTCTTGTGAAGACTCCGTAAAGAAACCCTAAAGAAACCCCTAAGAAATCCTAAAGACACCCCTAAAGAAACCCCTTTTTAAAAAAAAAACTCAAAAAAAACCTAAAGAAACTCCTCAAGATACCCTAAACGGCAAATGCCTGGGCGTTGCCCGGACCCGCAATGACGACAGGCGACGCATCATCATCATCCTCATCATCATCATCATCAGCATCGTCATAATCATCAAACCCTTTTTGAAGATCTTCCATGAATGTAGAAGTTTAGCGCGGGTGGGAGAATTAAACCTTTCTTGAAGATCTTCAATGAATGTAGAAGTTTAACAGGGGTGGGAGAATTAAACCCGTATTGAAGATCTTGAATTAATGTAGAAGTTTAACGGGGGTGGGAGAATTAAACTCTTATTGAAGATCTTCAAGGAAGGTGAGAATTAAACCCTTATTGAAGATCTCCAATGAATGTAGAAGTTTAAGGGGGAATTATACCCTTATTGAAGATCTTCAATGAATGCAGAAGTTTAACGGGGGTGGAAGAATTAAACTCTTATTGAAGATCTTCAATGAATGTAGAAGTTTAAGGGGGTGGGGGAATTACACCCTTATTGAAGATCTTCAATGAATGTAGAAGTTTAACAGGGGTGGGAGAATTAAACCCTTATTGAAGATCTTCAATGAATGTAGAAGTTTAACGGGGGTGGAAGAATTAAACTCTTATTGAAGATCTTCAATGAATGTAGAAGTTTAACAGGGGTGGGAGAATTAAACCCTTATTGAAGATCTTCAATGAATGCAAAGCTTATCGGGGGTGGGACTTTATTCCCTAATACCTTTGTTGTTTTCCCATAGGAATTTAAGGTTTAACGGGGGTGGGAGTTTAATATTCCCTAGTACCTTTGTTGATCTTCCCAATTGAGTGTAAAGTTTAACGAGGGTGGGAGTTTAATATTCCCTAGTACCTTTGTTATTTTTCCCATAGGAATTTAAGGTTTAACGGGGGTGGGAGTTTAATATTCCCTAGTACCTTTGTTGATTTTCCCACAGGAATTTTGTGAAGTT